TATGCGGTGATTACAGCAGCTATGTCAAGCCTGTTGCTTATTTTAAAAAGTTGTTTCAAATCATAAATACAAAAGGAAGAGAATAGTATACTTAGCTAAAGTATAACGTTGATGCGGCTGAGCCTCTCTAAGTGGAAAATAAGGCCAGTCGCTTTCTATACTTACCTATCAAATCGCGTGGTGTAGCCGTACATGATAGCTGAATCTGAAATCTTTAGCTCAAACGAGGTCACAAAACATCTCTGTAAAATTCGGATTCCTATTTTAACTGGTCCCTGAAGTCGCGCCCCCGCCAAAAAATTTACACGTTCTTTTTCGTTGTCCACACTTGAAACTTCGACGTATGTGGACAATAACTTTAGGACGGGAGAGTCACACAAAGGTCGTGAGCCTGCTCAGAAAGTTTCAGTTTCCTAGCTCCCCTTGTTGCTGTGTTGAAAATAGGTGACAAAATGAGAACAGACGGACAAACTTGCACAGAAGACTTCGTGCCAATATGCACTCTTGCGTTTATACAAATATGTAAAAACGCATAAAGTGATCCAAGGAAGAATGCAAATTCGATGACTTTACCCGGTCGATAACTTCGAAAATTGCACTAGCTGCATTTCTAGCTGCCATCAGCGCACCAACTTGTGGAGCGGCCAGTCCTAGCGACATGGCACTGCTCATTACTGCCCAAAATGTTGCGAAGACAGCACCTGGCTCGATGAGTCCCCAGTTAAATATTATTGTGCCATACCTGCATTTCAAAGAAATTTACCTAATTTCAGGATTACCCACAGCAAAAAGAAAAATAATGTGTTTTTCTGTTTCCATGATTATTCTGGCATATGTGAGAGTATTAAAATGCAAATGTGAATAAAATTTTTCCAAAGCATTTTAAACTCAACCAAAATTGTTGATCTTTTCACGTACACTATAGGTTTCAGCCTTTAATATTTTCAGTATATTTTACTGTTAACTAGTATCTGCTTTTTGAATAGCCTTTGTAGTTTTACTTAAGCCTAACAAGTATCTTTGCACTTACCAGAATGCAATTCCCATGGCGACGAAAACAAAACAGAAGAGCCAGCCTGTACCGAGTGCGATCAAGAATGCTTTGCGCACACCGGAAGCTGAAGCTATATCTAGCTTTTTTCGGTACCTAGAATAAATGAATATAACATAGTTGACCCCTGACGATCATCTAGTTATATAGATTTAATGGACCGAAACATTTCTTACCATTAAAAATAACTTTCATTACATCTAAAATTTTATTAATTTCTTCTTTTCAACGTTAAAATATTTTATTGCAGTATTGAGATAACACGTATGCAGGTTAAACTTGATATCCCAATGAGTTCAGAAAGAGATTAGCATGGATCGCAGATTCCAGCGGCTAATGATCGCACGTACCTATCAATTTCTTTGTTCTGACCATTGAAAGCGATTACTGTTCGAATGCCCGTGATAACTTCCTCAGCGATAGCACCAGCCTTTTCATATGCTCGCATTTCCTTCCGCACACTGGTTGAGACAAACTCAATTACATTATATTACTACAATTTTTTTTCTTGATTTTTTTTAGTGTGAGCGAGTAAGAAAATAGACTAGATGCACCGGATCCTGATTTTACACCGTTTTATCTCATTAATCTGTGCAAAAGTCAAGAATGAAACCTCTTTTGTATTCGCTCTCTATGTGACAGCGAGCAAGACGCGGTGGGAAGTTGTGCTGCTATTTTGGCTTGAAGGTTCAGTGGGAAAATGACTCATATCTTTCATTTCGATGATAAATTGGTACTCGCAAATTATCAAAGAATTAAATTCGCCATGCCCCCTCGTAAGCAACCTTCGACAAGAGTTGGTTGTCACTAGCATTTGCTACCGCTTAGGCTACTTTCTCGGATGCCTCCGCCTTTTACACAAAGTGAATGTGGAGAAAGTTTTGACTTTTGACTTTGAATCTAGTCAAGAAGCATAGCTGGCGGCCTATAATTATTATTAATTAAGATGATCCTTGTTTACACCTGACAGTTATGCACAGAATGTACTGGCCGCAGTGTGATGCCGACTGCTCGCACAATCATGAAAGTGGATAAGGTTACAGGCATATACATGAAGCCGTGCAGCCCGGAGTAGGATGAGTACTAAAATTGCGAATTGGGCTATTAATGCTTTTTTTTTACCTGAAAAGTATGCTTTACAGCATAAAACGATAACAAATGTGTACTAAAACATATTTTTTACGAGAACTTTTCGCATTTATAAGTTGATCTGTGATTTGCTTTCTGTAACCCTGAACAGCTGCAGAAGAGCCTTTTCTGTGCGCAAGCAAAGGAGAATATTATCTTTAATTCAGCTGGGAATTTTTAATATTTTTCGGAAATTTGTAGGAAATGCTCTTACTGTTGTGAGAAAGCCCATCAGTCCAGCCAGAACAGGTAGAAATGCCAATATAATCAGTGTCATGCGCCAACTGTAATCATAAAAAGTTATACAATATTTTATCAAAGAATGTTTTTACATAGCAAATGCAGAGCATTGGAACTACGTTGCGAACCATCTGTTAGCCTCTTATGGTTGTACGTATCTATAGTGCCTTAGGCAGACTTTTTTTAAATGGAATTATTCTTAAATTTTATCGGAAGGAATTCAAAAATTTTATTAAGAGGAATTCAAAAAATTCATAAGACCCGTTTAAAAACTTATTAATTTATTAAGCGATGTTGGCACATCAAAAACCACCAATTAATGGTTTCTAATTAAATTTTTGGTGCAACAAAAACGAAATTTTAATTAAATTAGAACGAAACTGAGAAAAAATTAAAACTTTTTATACTTTTTTAAAAAGCGATACAAATTTACACGAGATTGTTGCCAGTGGAAGCATAACTGAATTTCTGAGCACTATTTGTTCCTGAGCCTAAAAATTCCATTAACAAACGATTCTCTGATTTCCAACTAGCGCTCAAGCTTGCGAAGTTTTCTAGAAAAAGTCAATATTACCTGCACGTGAAAGCAACCACAATTCCACTAACAGATCCTGCTCCGTATGTAAATAAAGTGCCCATCTTATCACCGATGCCATCTCTGATCCGATCAATTCCACTTCAAACAAAAA